GCGCGCCTCGGCCGCCGCAGGGCTGGGCAGGGCTGGACAGGGCGCGCTTTATCCTCTCGCAGGCCGGGGGCTGCGGCGGCACCTCGGGTCACGCCCCTCTTTGGCTCGGCTGCCAGACGGGCTGGGGACAGTCGCGGTGGCGCCGAGCCGCCCAGGGGACAGGCGGGCAGCGAGGGCGGGCGGGGCTCGTGCTCTGGAGTCCGCGACAACTCCTTTTCTCCGCCTGTGGGTACTGCCCAGCCAGACAGGCCAGCCGGTCAGATGGAGGGGGCGGCTGGGAATTTCTGTGGTCTGAGCGTCCCTGGATTCCACCCGTCGCCCCCTTTGGAGAGCATGGCAAGTGTGTCCAGATGCCACCCAAGTGCCCACTGCCCCTACGAAGTCAGTGCAGGACCTGGCTACCACCCAAGGCCACAGGATGCACGTGGTCACTGAAGATCCTGAGACCATCCCAGGAAGGGGATAGACGGGTACAGGGGATGGGCACCGGAGGATTGCAAGGCCACCCCTCAGAACCAGTCAGGGAGGAGTCCCCTGAAGGTAGCCATCCAGGTTCTGAAAAGCCCAGAATTTTCCCAGACCCAGTCCTGGGAGGCAGCAGAATGCGGAAGAAACCTCAGGAACCAGGAGTGGGGGCTCCAAGGCTCCTGTGTCATCATGTGTCACATGCCAAGGCACACAAGACTTCCTGACTGAAGGGCGGGGACCTTCCTGAGCCTGCTGGGTACCTGTCCCTTGCCACCGCCGTTTCACAACACCTTCTGTGTTGAGTCGGCACGGGGGCTCCTCCAGACCTCAGTTCCCAGGATGGCACTGCTTCCCAGGGCCCAGGGCTGCGGGAGGCGCTGGCTGTTGGGCAAGCTTGCTTTTCCACAGAGCAGGCTGCTGCCAGCGGTGGAGCCACTGAGAGCAATGAAGAAGAAAGGACTTGTCCTTGAGCCACACCCATCCCGGCTACCTCTGGGCCTAATGGTGGAGTCTGGCTTTTTGCTTCCCAAAGCCATGTTTCCATTTTTGCAAGGAGGCTTTGTGGCAGGAGAGAAGGCGCAGGTGGTACCGGCTGTCTGCTTCCTCTCCAGGAGCAACTGCGAGGAAGATCAAGAACCTGAAGTTCTATCCCAGCTGGAAACTCCGTGCCAAGGTCTGGATTCCCCAGTCTCAGTAAACACGTTGGCAACCTTGGGTGCTCTTGGAGAGCAGCCAGGGTGAGGCGAGATCAGAAAACTGCCCAGGTCTTCTCTAAGACATCATGGTGACCGGGAGGAGCAGCAGTTACATAGATAACTTTGTCCCTTACCTCTGACAGCACCACACTGCAGCCTGTCTAAAGACTTGTCGCATAGCCTTGCTTTCTAATTCATGTCAGGATTAGGGCTGATGGGGAGAAGCCACTGAGAGGCAGAACTGGGGCTCAACACCAGGAGGCTTGGACTGCACGCCTGGCGCTGAGATGCAGAGGGAGCTGAGCGGGAGGAGCACCGTCCTGCCTTCTGGCTTCTCTACATCCTGATATTCACTCCAGTCACTGTGGGCCATCTGTCACCATTACTCACCATCAACAGCAGAAGATGGGGCTCCCAAGGCAGCAGCCTGTTGGGCCCTGTCACTCCCACCACATAGCACAGCCCTTGGCTCCCAGAGGGCCTTTAGTAACTTCCTGTTGAATGAGTGAATGAATGTATGAATGAGCCAAAGGCTGTTTGCTAAGGGTATTCTATGCAGAGCAGTACGTATATGGTGGTGGGACGGGCCCTCCGAGGTCCTTGCAAGACTGCTGTCCAGTGGGCTGGGGGAGTGAGCGGTAGCCTGAGACCCTTCCACCCCCAGCTGTCACTCCGCAGGTAGGAGCCACAGCTAGATAGGATGACAGTGAGGTCACTTTGAACCTGCCGGGCACCATCTGACCCCTTCAATCCACAGAGCTGCCCCTCCTGGGACACAGGACTCAAAAGGCTATAGATGGCCACCCCTGCCTGAAGACTGAGACAGGCCGAGAGTGGTACAGAAGGGCAGAGGAAAGGCCAGACAGTTCTCATGCACACTTCTCTCCAAACTCAGCCAGCTCTTTCTGGGAAGGAGGGCGGCATTTGGCGGGAAGCCGTGTGCACAGCCGTGCTGCCCACAGCGCAGGTGTCTTCACTCAGCCCGTGTCCCGGCGGCTGCCTTGCTCTCCGCCTGTTGCCTTCCGCCTGCTGCCTTCTGCCCGCAATGCTCTTTCCTCCACTGGCCACACATCGCTTCCTCGCTGGCCGCTTCTCACGGAGCCTTGCCTTCCAGTCCCCAAGCGCCCCTCTCTGAACTCTGCCAACCCCAAGGGCACTGTGGTCGCGAGTGCTTAGCGTCAGGCAGGCCCATGTGTGAAACTGCTTTTTATTTTATTTTATTATTTTATTTTATTTT